TAGGGTTTTGACAAAGATCTGCATTTTCGCCGCTCTTACCGGAGCTCAAGCTGGACTGATGGACTTATAATACACCAGGAGCTAGCTAGGTTTCCGGCACACGAAACGGCGTCGCCGTTGTTTTTTTTTACATTTGGATTAAATAGTAATTTAAATATATATATATATATATTTTAAATAGAGATAGAAATGTAAATATATGTATATATATTTAAAAATTAATTAAAATGAATATTATAGTGTGTATGGATATAACCTAAAAACATATAACAATTAATTTAGTATTATAAAAATAATAAAAATCTTAATTTTATTTATTGATAAGTATAATTTTGTTACTTTATGTACATAAATATACATTCATTCATCTTTACATTTAGGTTGTGTAACAAAAAATGGTATATAATATGAAACTTATTATGCTATTTTCAGCTCTTGTTTTATCCCACATTTGGCTCTTGCATTAGATGGCAAAACCATTGTAAGCAAACTTGATTGATGAAGATGTAGATGTGGCTCTTGCAAAATGCAAAGCTAGTCTTTCGGATAAATTTCTAAAAGAGAAGAGTCTTTCTCTGTTGTACTCTGGAGAGGTACATTCATCTATACCATGAGGTAAAACAATGTGTGTATTCAGCGAAAGTGCGAGAATTGAATTGTGTCTTCTTGTTAGAGTACACGTCGTCTCAAAATTTAATTCTTTTATATTTCAATACTTATTTGGTAAAGAAATTCGAAAACTACAAGAATTCGTCTTCTGATGTAGCCTTAGATTACGAAAATCGTCTAAAACTACTAGACGGAAATCATCCCTACATCGGCAGATGGATTCCTGAAATTCGACATTATTCTAAACGATATCAGGCTCGACGGTCACATAGCATCTCTTTTTTCCAAACAGGCCTCAGCAGTACGAGAAAAAACAGTGGATCACATTCATAATCGATTCACGTAAACTGCCGCCGAATAGGATCACGTTTACTTTCCGCAGTGTTCTAAAAGTTGCTAGGCGCTCGACGAGCGCCTAGAGCCTAAAGCACCTAAGCGGGGCCTAGACGGCGCCTAGTCGGGGCCTATAAATCAATATTAAATACCTTATTTTTTATTTATTTTAATTACCTACAAAATAAAATTATCTCAACATATAATAAATCGACACACCTAAGTCTAAATAATAAAATTAATATATTTAAAAAAATTTGAGAACAAAATAATGTAATTAGTGTTTAAAAAAAAAATACACTGAAAAATTGTCGCCGAGCCCGCCAAGTTTGCCTAGGAGCGCCTAGGACTGCCTAGGCTCTCCTAGGTGCCGCCTAGCCGCCTGACCAACTTTTTCTGCTGATTTGTGCAAATCGGAGGCGCCCGGGCATCGCCTAGCGCCTAGGCGCCGCCTAGACTGATTTTTAAAATAATGCTTTTCCGGTAATCAACTCGGCTTCAAACATTGCCATGGTGGTAAGGAGGTGGCAGATGTTGTCGATATAACGTTGGGCGGCGGTGGCAATGACCGGTTGCCATGTAGCAAACTGAAGGTTGTCGAGGTTTTTGAACAAAGATGTTGGTTCTAAACTATAGTAATGTGGTAGTGAAAAAATTGAGATTGTAGTATTAAAAAGCTATTATAATACATGAAATAAAAACATTGTATTTTATTTTAGAAGTGATAATTTATTATGGTTGTATTATTCTTTCGAATTATAAGTGATAATTATTTTGTTTTGAAGAATTAAAGATCGATATATGTCTTTGAGAGATTAAAATCAACATTTTTTTTTTTTTTTTGAAAAAATAAAAATAAAAATAAAAGCCTAATATGCCATCGCAAAGTATCCATTCCTGAAAACATTAAAATGGACCCTTGTTAAAGTAATTACACATCTTAACAATAATTGGGCCTATAAGAAAATGGGCTCAAGGTTGCTTTTATGTTGGTTTACATGCCCATGGAATAGCTCAATTACGACGTCGTTTCTGGCAAATGCTTCACACGAAGCTTGCAATGCCATGCGAATAGCGGTTTACTCGGAGGCATATTTTTCATGTTTGTACTATACAGCAAGAGGTAGATCAAAGGTGCGACGAGCGTGAAGCTTCACTATAAGAAACTGTAAAAAATTGGAAATTAAAATATTAAATTTTGATTCAAAACCCAGTAATTTTGCTCAACCAGCTCAAAAATGGCTTCCTCCACAACCCAAAACCTGACACAAGTGGTGAAGCTCGATACAGAGGAAGATGTCGCCGTGGCCCTAGCTGAGTACACCGCCGATCTTTCTAAAAAGTTCATCAAAGAAAAGGGTTCGTTCTCCGTCGTCCTCTCCGGCGGAACCCTAATCGAGACACTCAGGTAATTTACCCCATTTTGTTATTTTCGCATTGTTTGGTTTTCAGCTCAGATAGCAATAGCTGCTGTGTAGCTTTTGACTGCGTAATGTGAAAGAATAATAGGGAAAAGGAAAAAGGGCAGATTTCAATTTTGATTTTTTGAGCTTTCTGATTGTGATTTTTAGGGTTGAATAAGTAATTTTAGCAGATGTGATACATAATTGCAGAGGTTCTGTTTTGTTTAGTATCTAATTTCCCCCATGGAATTTTAGGTATCAGACTGTAATCTTACTTGTCTTGTGAATTTTTTTTTTTTTTTTTTTTTTTAATGCTGTAGGAAGCTTGTAGAGTCTCCATACAAGGAATCTGTGGAATGGTCGAAATGGCTGATATTTTGGGTTGATGAGAGAGTTGTTCCTCTGGATCATGAAGACAGCAATTACTTGCTAGCCTCCAGAGGTTTTCTTTCCAAGGTAACATGAAAAGTTTGAATCTTTATAGTAATAGTTTCAGATTGGTTTATTAATCCCCCAAGAAATACAAGTTTTGTCGTCTTCACGCACATTTGGTGTGGATAATTGAGTAACCGTGCGTTTGTTTTACTCTGATTACATAAAAGAGAAGGACCTGTTATGTGTTAAATTTTTCTATGCGAATTTGTTTCTAGTTGATGGATAATTTGTCCGGAGTGTAAAAAATACATGGACAGTTAACATTAGAGAGTTCCGTATGTATTAGTGAAAAATCTATAAGTAGTCCCTGCGAGTATCCCTGAAATGGAAGAACGAGATGTGTTTGTTTTTAAATGAGTTGTCATGAACGGATGCTGATATATATTAGGCTGGTTAGCATGAGTGATTTGAACGCAAAAAAACGAGTTTTGCTTTTTATTAAAAGATAAGTACAGAGTACCACCCAAGCCTAGAGTATTTTACAGAAGGATTGAACACAACTAACTTTGATAATTTATAAATTATAATTACAAACACCGCCTACCGTTTGTGCACCTGATGGAATTGAGTATGCCATCAGAATGCTTGCAGTTAACATTAGAGAGTTCCGTATGTATTACTAACAGTCATGAAAAATTGAGACTTTTCTGGTCTTTCCTGCAATAGTCTGAAAAACCAAGACTCGTCTTCGTAAAGCACGATAATGCAACCAAATTCCTATAAACTCTACGAACTGTTGAGCTGAAATGTGTCATGGTCCTTTTGAAATCATCAAATCGAAACCTTTTTTATTTTCCTTAAGTTGTTCCATAACCTTACGGATAGTCTTTGTAATTGTCCCTTTATTAATCAACCAAATCGTGTCTCTCATTTTTATTTATTTATTTATTTATTATTATTATTATTATTATTATTATTATTATTATTATTATTATTATTA